ATTGGTTATTCCTTCTCTAGAAAAAGGGCTCAACCATTTACTGTCAGGTTCACTTTCACTCTACCAAAAGTCAGTTTTACAGGAAATCCAGTTCTATACTCACATACTTACCTAGCTTATAACTAACAGGGTATGAACACCACGTTCTACCTATGAGGAATTGTCCCAAATTAACTTCTCCTTTGAAATACATCTCAGAAGCAAATTCTTTTTCAACCTATTGAATGAGAACTGATATCTAGATAGATAGATAGATAGATAGATAGATAGATAGATAGATAGATAGATAGATAGATAGATAGTTCCACTTTTTTCTGCATGGCATAGTACTAACTGAAACTTTATGCCATTTGCTCCTGAATGATGTAGAGATGGGTATAACTCTGACAGCTTAAAAAGGGAATCAGAGAAATTGATGGAGAAGAAGAGATAAAATGAGATAAAATGTTTAAGATAAAATGGTTGTATGAAATATTCACTTTTAGAAACAGAATGGTATTGAATATTTTTTACTCTGCTAGTGAACTGCCTGTTGGTCTCTGACTAGCTGCTGTTGGAAAACAAAAACTAGAAGGATATTTAGCTAAAAAACTAAAACTGTTAATATCAATATAGTTGAGTTATGTTCTTATCCTCAAAGCTTTTGATTTATTTTGAGTCAGTCACTGCCTCTCTCTACCAAACCTACAGTATATAATGAAAGAGTTAAAACTGCATGGGGACTGCCTATTCAAAAAATATCTTGCCACCATCTTATTTACCTGAAGACAAATTGGTGACATTTCTCCTTTCACTCCAAGATGCTTTTTAGTCCTACCAACTCAATGTAATGTTTGCTTGTTTCTTTAGGGAACAGATGGATACTCTCCCAGATGAAGCTTAGAATTGTTGGTATCCACCATTTTAATTTTCTAGGAAGGTCTGAGGGACCCAAATGTTTTCTTGGAAATAAAAGTATGCTGGAGGCTGATACTTTGTTTTGCAACATGTCAGCTTCTCTTAAAAAAGAAAAAATCTAATTTCTGGCCTGTATCAAAACAGATGTTCCTGTCCATGGCTATGTTAGCATCCACAGTGGGGGACCACAATTAAAGGGAGGGCACATCTCAATAGGAGTGTCGCATAGCGAATTAAGACTGGTTCATGCAAATTGATAGTCTAAAATGTTAGTTTGGTAACGTTTAGCAGCCAGGTCAAGGGAAGTGAGTTTGGAAAGAAAGGCCCAAGATCTCACTAGCTCCAGGAAAGAAGAGCAACATTTTCAGTCCCAGTTGACCAGGACACCTTGGTGTGTACTGAAGCCTCCTGAAGACAGATCAAAAGAGTGGCTTCCTTTCCCAGTTGAGCATGGGGATCCTGCTGGCATTTTAATGGGAATCAGAAGTGTAGGGTGCTCTCTGTGCTTTTCTTCTGCCTTATGTTCCACAGTACAGATGCATGTAGGGACTGGTCTTCTGTGGGGCTGCTTCAGCAGGGAGGTGATCAAACTTGTTAGTACAGCTGTGAGAAGGAAGAAGGGGCAGTTTAGGGATTATGCAGAAGAGAAGAATTCGTGTGTGCTGGGGAAGGTCTAGGTTCTAAGGTGTCTGTTATGGGAGGAAGTGGGCAACTTCTGTCCTCAAGAATGGAGGAAAGAACACCTTTAGGTTGCAAGCCTACCTACAATTTCCTGGGAATAAATTCCATGGCATCTCATAGGACCTTTCTCCTAAAGGGATCCATGCAAGTTGAAAACAGCTGTTACCTAAGTTAGATAACATGCATTGCAAATATACTGCCCTATACAATTTAGGAAAGAAAAAAAATAAGACAGGAATCTGACATTCTGGGATATGACCATGTCTTGTATCTTTCACAGCAACTTCAACAGCTATCGATAAGAACAACCTTAAATACAGTGGGACCGTGTTTACCCCACGATTTCCAACAACTTCGACTACTACCTCATTGAAGCAACCAATGTGGCTGAGTCTTAACTACCCTCCGCCTCCTGTTTTTCCCAACCACTCAAGTTTCCCTCAGTATCAGGTAATGGTCGCACATGCCCTTATTGTGGGGTAGAGATATTTCCAAGGAACCAGTAAGTCTGTCTGCACAAAGCAGGAGGAAAGGGAAGTATTTGCTGTAGGTCACAATATTACTGGGCATTCTGGAAGCGCAAGCAAGTTAAGGATTTTTTTCAGTCGCAACATAAGCCATAAATAAGCCTTTCTCTAAAACAGCTTGTCCCCTGAAGCATGGATGGCCCTCATCCTCATGGCCTTCCAGAAGCAGGTGAAAACACAGGTCTTCCAAAAGACCATTGTGGATTAATTGTATACTGCAGTGCCAGGTTCTCTTATTCTATCATTATAAACCGTTATTTTAGTTAGCGTTTTTAATTAATGGCTGGTGTGGGTCTTCCGGGCATTTTTAATTAACTTTATTTTTTGTGTCCTACTTTTATTGTGTAAATTCTGTGAGCTGCCTAGAATCTGGTTGGCTTTAGACTAGTGTTGTCCAAACTTGGCCACTTTAAGATGAGTGGACTTCAACTCCCATGGCTGGCTGGG